TCTCTCTCTCTCTCTCTCTCTCTCTCTCTCTATGATGAGAAATTATTTTCTTTTTTTCTCCGTGCCGAATACGTATTCGTAGCCTCTCGTCATTTCTTGAAATTTCTATATTCTGAAGAATCGTTTCAATCGACGATTCTCCATTTCGCGAATTATCTCACGATAAAGGACTCTAAAAAACGGAGGAGAAAATCGGAATTTAAATGTTGCGCGAAATCTTGACGACAGTTTCCGGAATGGTCGACCAACTTCGATACAGTTTAATTCCCAAAGTAAGATTGATTGTTCAATAACACTGTACACACCAAGCCTTCTCTCTCCTCGTGGTTTCTCCATTTTTCGTTTACCAAGAAGCGTGTGTCGCGAGGATAGGCGAGAGAGAGAGAGAGAGAGAGAGAGAGAGAGAAAGATTTAAACGCATTCCCTCGTCGTTGAAGCATGCAGCGTCGCATATAAATCTCCGAGAGAGTGAAAAAGCACGCGAGCAAAGCACCTGAGCTTTCGAGACGAGGAAACAACGTTGCCTCCGGTGCCATATCGTGTCGCGTTGTCTCGCGAAAGATCAAGGTTAACTTGGCTGGATTCTGCGAGACACGGTTCCCGTAAGGCGAGTCGCGTAAATCATGCTCCAGCAGCCCGACCTTCGACGAAGTTAAATTTCCAATATTTAGAGAAAAGAAAGGATCCGTGATAAAGGGAATTGGGAAATTTGATAGTTCGCGATACGGTGTCACGAAGGGACAATGAATCTTTCTTTCAACAGCTCGATCCCAAGTATCAGGCGTCAGGTCGATGAATTTTCATCGGGACAGGTACCGACGAACGTTTCGTTACAACGCTTCGTCGGAGATCGTCGTCGCGACAACGAGACTTGTAATTCACGTCGAGAATTCGAGATTTCATCGACAGACGCAACGTCGCTGGAATTTTCGTTCAACGATTGTGAAGTATGAAACGGGGGTGGGCGAAAGTATTCGCAAGCTCGAATGAAAAATCGTCGATGTTCCGAACTGTTGTAACTTCATGAAAGAAAACAGCATGACAATCCGGTTGGCTTCAGTTCAAAATACGCTTTGACAGTCGTACAAAGTGGGAAAAAGCAAGGATGCTTCCGTCCTCGAATACTAAACTGTTCGAATCAAGCACCTTGGAAAACGTTGAAAAAACTTACCCTTCGTAACGACCTATCAAAACTTGATGCGTACGATCTTTCTTCGCCGTTTTATTGAACTTCGAACATCGGGGCAAAACGTTTGCATCCGTCGAATTTTTGTCGTTCAAGGTTCGATAAAATCGTACGGCAAATATAGCAAATTTGAAGGACTGTGAAGGAAAGACTTCGATCTTTGAGGTTATGACACATCTAGTCGTGAAAAAAGTTTTGGAGGCTAAATTTTGGAAATTTTTGACAACGAGAGTGTCCCTGCTGCGTGATGTAAAAACGTCTTTAGAAAAAAAAAAAAAAAGAATTCCAGATTGGTAATAATAGAAATAGAAATTCAGAGGCCAACTCTGAATCGTCATATGATTTCCCTTCGCGAAATTTAAAATTTCCCCGCGAAGTATTTCCGTATCTATACAAGTCGTGAAATATTTCATTGGTTCTGTTTTAATCCGGATTTCGTTTCGATCGAAAAGTTTCGTCTCAAGTTAACTCGTCGCAATCCTTCGAACGAATTCCTTTCTTCGCGGATCCATTACTCTTCCAAGGGGTGGTATCACTTCACTGATTGCGAGCGAGTCTGCGAGAAAGGACAGAGGCCCGGAGCTATCGGTGGAACGTTCCTTGTCTATTTACACTATCTCGTAAACGCGCGTCGCGCAAACGGTTGAGCAGAGGCTTTTGTTAACGACGGATCCTCCAAAGCTGCGATATCTACCGCGATAACGCGCGCACGTCTCTCCGTTGCGAGAGAGCACTGCAGCCAACGTTATCTTTCTACCGGCTCGGAATTATTGAAAAGCGATATCGGGGACCGGGGCGAGCGGTTCTTCCATTTTACAAATGCGAGGAGTCGTCGTCGCACACCTTTCCGAAATTGCACTTGCTCTTAACAACGCTGGCGTGGACAGAGGCGCTAGACATCACCGTTGCGACATCTCGAAATGTCGTCTCCCTCGGGAATAATCCCGAGCCTCTCGAGTAATCTCAAAGAACGGAATTTCATTTAAATACAGAAGGACGTTTTCACGTTTACTTGTTGTACCAGAACATCGAGCGATAACTGCTTGCTAGATTTATGTAGAAGTTTCCAGATCCTTTGCGAAGAGAGTGGAAGTTTGATGGCCCGAAATTGCACGAACGTCCAACTAATCCTCCAGTAAATTCAATTAATGTCAACGCGCAATCGATGGAGGAAATGTAGTCTGTCACACGTGTTTGAAATCGAAGGCATCACGACAACGATGGACGATATTTGTCTTTCAAATTCCATGTCAACTGAACTCGCTGAATGAAATTATAGAAGAGAAGAGTCCGTTCTATAGACAACAAGTTGGAAGAAAGTTCAATTTGTAAAATGCACGGTTGCAAACAACAAAAGCGTAGGACTTTCCCCATTCGATCGTAATTTCGATCGTAAGTAGCAACAACTCGCTACGTGTTTGAAATTAATTTCAGAAAATAGAATTCCCATCGCGCGTAATGGCGTCCATTTTTCATCCCGCCCCTCCCCTCCCCCTTTGCGCCGTCCGTTGGACATTTCGACATAAATATCTAACGTCGGTCCAGCGTCCGTAACAGGTTTTCGTTACACGAAAGCGAACTTACCTCCCCCAGTTTCAAGGCCTGGTCGGCCTTCTGCAACTCTTCCGCGAGCCTCGCAGCAAAATCGATGTGAGCACGTAACCACCTCTGCCATTCGTCGGCAATTTCGCCGATCTTGCCGAGCCAAATCGACCAAACACGCAGCATTTCCGATGGCACGGCATATATTCGCTCCATGGACCTCGCCACGTTCCTGCCATTTCGATACGTTACACCACGTCATTTCAATTTCTCTGCAGTCTAATCCGTGTATCTGCCCCCCGCCCCCTTTAACCCTCTTTCTTATTTCGCAATATGTAATAGAAGGGTTTGCAGAAATTGTGTGCTTCTTTGTATCTTTCTCTTCAATTGCTGGGTAAAACGATATGTTCGAAAACTAGAGTATCCGATGAGAGAAAAAACTCTAACAATAATCTTTCAATAGTTGTGTTTGTGTCACGTCGTTTTCTTTCAAATTCGATAGACATTGCCATTATCCAGTGACAATAATTTAACTTGTTGCAACATGATCTATATTCTTAATTAAATATATATATATTGACATTTAGTTAATGCTTATTGTTAAATCACATATTAATTCTCAAGTGAAATAAAATTTTCGAAATATAATAACTTTTTGAAATATAATTTAACTTGTTGCAACATAATCTATATTCTTAATTAAATACATATTGACATTTAATTAACGCTTGAATCACATTACAGATTACAAACTTTACTACAGTATTAATTCTCAAGTGAAATAAAATTTTCTACAGTATCAAGAAATTACTCGTGAGTCACCTCGAATAATTGCTAGACCATTGGATCGGAACCTGGCCAGCGAATACAAGAAATTATCGACTATCTGAGGATTACTATCGAATAGGTAAGTAGACAGGAAGTAGTACACGAGCATCTCTCTACCGCGAATATTTCATGTATTTCTGTATGCTCCACGTGCGTTCTATGCATCCTTGTATCCTTC